GTGTAGGGACATTTGTTTGTTATATCAAATGTGGCTGCATGGACAGAGGGGAAATGAAGGGCAGCAAAAAGGAAGGAAAAGAGTGAGAGGGTTTTAAGGGAGCTCATTCTGGACTTCGAGTGAAGGCAAGTTCTATAGGGTTTTTTTTTTGTTTTTGTTTTTGTGGTAGTGTGGGTGAGGAGATGCAGATGCAGGGGGGGTTTATATAGCAATTGGGTTGGCTATGGCTATGGCTACTTTCCACACTTCAATGTGATTGCGTGATCAATTTTAGTTTGCTGGAAAAATTAAGGGATGGTATTGATGGGTCTGCTTTGGCTTGACTTTAATACAAGACAAGCAACGAGGCTGCATATACATACCATGTGTTCTCAATCCATCAACCAAGATATTTGAGGGTAATGAATTTTTAAAATTTTGAAAGCAAAATTAATACAAAATTCTATTTAATAATAATATTGATACTACTTACTTATATAATTAGGTGATATTTTTAAATTTTGTCCTACATTTTACAATATTAAGGACTAGCTAGAATTATACCATAACATGTCGAGTTCAAAACTATACAAAATGTTGATAATTTCTTTACATATTTATTGTCATGAATAAATTAATACATGCTTGTTTGCAAACTATTGTGATATTTATAATATTGATGTTAAGTCTAATCATGTTGTTGAACTCCTTTGATTTAATAAAATTCATCTCAAACTCCACTAATAACAATAATCCTAGTTAATTTTGAAGGATTGATCTCTCGGTTAAGGAGGTATATATGTTTTCTTTTTATACTTTCTAGGTTCAAATCTTAAGATTAATATATAAATATAACAATTTATCAGGAAGAAATGTAGTCTTCGTTAATGCACAATCTAACCCGAATATACCTTTAATATTGAATAAAAAAAAAATAATCCCAATTTGAGGATGGGTTGTGGATTCGATTCTTCAAAAAGGTGTCAACTTCAATTCCTAACCAAAAAAAAAGATTTATTGCATTGTTGTATGAATCAATAGTCCAAAATTGGGAGAGTAAACTATCACCAAAAAGATTTTGTAAGGACAAAATGAATTAAAAGAAATGAATAAAATGAGATAGATATCAGGATTAAGACAAACATTAAAGAGAGTTTTTTTTTGTGATGATAATATTAATTAAATGATATGGATATTTTCTTTTCTCTATTTGGAAAATGAACATGTGCATATATAATCAAAATGATTAATTATATATATATATATATATATATATATATATATATATATATATGACCTCATTTGGTACTTGTACTAATTCTCCTCCTTTTTATTGGAGCATACTACTCTTTTTTCTTTTTTCTTCGTATTAATTGAATCCATTTACTTCGTCAATAGTTCGACACACAGCTACGTGGAAAATCTTGCAAATGTGGTCGAGCCGTCTCGGCTTCTTATGCGTAGAAAATTCTTCAAAGGCTGCGACGATAATACGCGGCACCGATGAGGTGAAGGGTGCCTAATCAATGAGTGTTCCAAGGAAAGCAATTTTAAGCCAGGGCTGCCAAATCTCGACGACTAGAGACTGGGAAGAAAAGTCTACAGAAATATCAGCAAGCATAATTCTGGCATCAACAATTACTTATTCCCCTTGATCACCTTTTGGCGTTTCCATTGATCCTGAAAGGTAATGCAGCCGCTCTACAATTAATTTAAGCATCCATAATCCATATAACTAGTTTAATTTCCTCCACTACGTTTTGCGTGAGAGGTAAAGCAACTTTTGCACCACAATAACTTTTCGACGTGAATTTCATATCGGTCTTGTGATCTCCCCATTTCTTAAATTTTGATAATCTCTTTTAGAATTTTGTTTTTCTTTTATGAATTTCACCTATTAGTCATAAAATGGAAAACAAAAGTACCCAATGAAAAAAAAAAAGTTAAGGACACGAATGAAAAAAAAATAAAATGGTTTCGGTGGCTCATTATTCATATGATCAAAGTTTTCATCTCTTTTTAGTTATATACTATGCAGAAGACTACGGTATGTGCCGACCTAAACTTTTCCTAGCATAAAAAAATGTTTAGGCTATGGTAGTATTTTCAAAGAAGCAAAACAAATTTAAGATCAGTGAAATTGACTAAATTAAATTTAATAATATGATTTAAAAAAAACATTGATAATAAATAAAGGAAACAAAAAAATAAAAATAATAAATTAAAGAAAATGAGCTATAGCATTATGCCTGGGATAAGAAGAAGAAAAAATCTATTGAAGACTCACTATTACTCTATAATGGATACTATCCCACCACTTAAAAAAAACTCACTAAAATGATTCTAATATCATTATAAAACATTGCATAACACATCAAAAAGGATTACACTTGCCATTAGATTAACAACTGGAAAAGCAAAGTAAATAAGATATTTTAAAATGATTATTTTATGTTTATATTTAATAATTTAATTTAAAAATAAAATAAAGTTTCTGTTTTAAAAAACTAAATTTAACAAATAATGATAAATAAAAACTTCCAAAATAACCTGGTTTGTTTTAAAAATTAATAAAAAATATCATAGAAAACAAATAAAAAAAACAAAATCTAATAATATTGATGGAATATAAACTTATTAAAGGATGAAAATGAAAAAATTGAATATATCTAATAATATTGACGGAATATAAACTTATTTAATACACGGGACACCAGATCCAACAAGATTATATTAAGATGTGTTTGTGTTGGGATATATCAGCCTAATTTACTTGAGAATTCAAAAAAAATATTTATTTATTTATTTATTCAATATTTTTCAATAAAAATATACTAATAAAATCCTATTTCACATATTTGAATCCTGAATTTGTGTGGATGTTAATAAAATCCTATTTCATACCTGAATCCTGAATTTGTGTGGATGTGTAGAAGGGAAGTTTTAGGGCAATGACTTTAACAAATTTCCAAAGTTTATTAATAGACAGTACGTCCTTGAATGTGGCAATTAATGAAGACAATGAACATGAGATTATTAAATACAATAGTGGAACGACTTGAGCAAATTTCCGAAGTTCTTATGGACAAAAGTAATCGAGGGAGGAAGAAAAAATGCACTGAGAATTGACTTGGAAACATTAAATTTAATGTGGCTCAAGGAAAATTCTTCCGAACAAGAACAAAACGGAAGCCCTCACAAACTTTTTTAATAGACAGGACGCCCTCGAAGATGCAAATTAATGTAGAAAGTCCTCTTCACCTCTATCGTCGTTTTTGCCCAGCAAATGCAAATACGAATACCAAACTGGGCGTTGATCATTTTCGTTTTGGAGCTTGATGGGAGCAGATACTTAGGAAGGTACCCTTTGATACTGTGATCCAACCGGTTTTTTTTATTTTAAATTAATATTTTTTTTTATCATTTTAATATATCAATATAATAAATAAATAAATAAAAATATATTTTCAGCAATTCACATTTCACATCAGGATTTAGGACTAACTCATGTCCTTAACTTGCGTCATATACAAGAACGCGACTTTCTGTCCATTAGGCTGCGTCGTCTTTTATTTTCCCAGTGTTTGCCTTTGACATGTAACCATTTTGGAACGCTCCACCAACAAGAATGCACTTCCAGAAGATTATTTTTTTGTGGTGTCAAGAAAAATATGTTTTATTAGAAATAATTATTTGGTTTTTATAAAAAAAAACATAACAAAACTAATTTTTTTTTAAAAAAATTAAACTAAAACCGATTCAAACCAAATAATTTCAATTCGGTTTTTTAAAAAAAAACCAATTTTAATTGATCGGTTCTGGTTTAACTCAATTTTTTAATTTAACTCGGTTTTTTTCTATTCAACTCGGTTTTTTAGGTTGAGTTTGGTTTTTTTTAGTTTCAAGTTTATAAAACCAAACCATTTAATTTTTTAAAAATTCTAATTAGTTTCATTGATCTTTTTTTTACAATTCAATTTTTTAATTATTTTTTTAATTTAATCAATTTTTTTACTCACCATGAATTTCCATGAACTTTCCCTCGAAACTCGACACATTGGGTTTTCTCCCGCAAATCATGGTCTGACTGCATTCCTAGTCTTTTTAAAAAAGAAAAAAAAAATTCTGGCTACATCATTATCTATCCGATTATTTAGCTGGTAAGGAAAGGACAAAAATGAGAGCAAATACATTCAGATGGAAAGTATTTAAAATTATGAAAATAAAAACAAAAGAATAGAAAATCAATTAAAAAAGAAAAGATTCAAAATTGTAAATAAGGAAGAATTTGAGAGACTCCTTGAGTTCTTTTTCAAATCCTTATCTTTATCTTCAAATCAAAGATATATTCAATCTCTCTCCTCCTCTTGTTCATCGTTCCCTCTACCCCTCGTGATTATCGTAGAATGTTAAGGACTTGTACTCTCAAGTTTGGCTATACGAGGATACGGTGACTTCCACTTGGTCAATGCTTCAATCTCCACGTAGTACTCCCCCTTATGCTATTTCTCTTTTGTAATAATAATAATAATAATAATAATCAACCTATAGTGTGTGTTGGCTATTAAAGATTATATATAAAAAAAAGACTAAGTCATATAGGAGTTTTATTTGTTGTGCACAAGTTTTAGCTTTTTGTTAAGAAAATTGAGAGATCCAAGACCAAAACCGATATTATTTCATTCCTTATTTTTTTATGCTATCGATCTTAAATTTTAATTTTTTAATATAATAAGAGGAAAGAGAAATTTATTAAAAAATTTAAGAAGATAAAAAGCTCTTACATTATTAAATTCTAGTCACCAAAACTTTAATTTTGATATTTATGAATTCGATAATAAAAAAGAAACTCAATGAAAATAATTTTTACTTTCAATTATAATAGAAAAGTAAATCAGATCTAAAAAATAATTTGATATCATTCTAAGTTTTTAGAGCGATTAAAATATGTTTTTTTATTATAAATAGGTTATTAGAGGTCAATAAGATTTTTTCCCACCTTTTTAGGTGAAAAATGGTTGAAATATTAGTTTTTGAAAATTTAAAAACTTGAACCCTAATTTTTTGGTCACCGAATCAACTTTCAATATTGAAAAAAGTTGTAGAAGAACAGTACAACATCCATTAAATTAAAAATAAGAAAACAAAATTAGGTGCATGGGCCT